TTTTTAATTTTGTTGTTTTTTTTGTTTTTTTTTTTTTTGCTCAGCCACATGTTGCGGGCATCCTTCATTGTCACTGTATACAGATCGATGTCATCTGTTAGCCGAATAGCTAAAATAGTAATCTATGATTCATTTTCCTGTTTGTTAGATCTTTTAGGAATCTCCCGTTTTTGTAGTTTTCACTATTGTAAATAAAGCCGCAGCGAACTTCCATATGCACGTAACTATGCATTTCTCAAGGTATTCCCATAAAGGTTAAATGGTGGGGGGCGGGGTTCAAAGGATACCTGAGATTTGAATTTTGACAAGCACTCGTCACTTCCACTGTCTTGGAGCGGAATATTGAAGGCCGTGTAGGTATGCACTGGGCGGAGAGGCAGAGAGGGGGCGCTATGTGAGTCCTGCGTCTCAGTCCTCACCCAGGACGGTCTGGGCGGTCACGGTGCGGACCCTCCCAGGCAACACCGTTGGAAAGGGCAGCCTTCAGAGTCTGTGACAGCGAGAGCCTTATAAGCTGACGTACCTGTCAGGCAGTCCTGGAAGAGCCCCCAAGACCCGGTAAGCCCTTCATGTGACATGTGAAAACTCTGACAACAACTAATCTCTCCAAAACTTGGACAGATGCGTTAGTTAAATGTGTGTGTATGTGTTATAGTAGAAATAGTTAGCATCCGTTTGTTAATTGTCAGAAAGGTAACATTTGGGGAGTTCCGAAGTCCTTTGTTCCCACAGTTCCAGTTCCCATTACTGTGTTCAGGTGCAGTTCGATGCGAGATCGACTTACGTAAAAGGAAGTTGTTTAAAAAGAAAAATGTGCGTTCTGTCATTGTTGAGTAGAAACAGTAGCATGTACTTCAAGTTTCCGAAGAATATAAATAGACCTTTGCTGTTTGAGGGGCTAGGAGCTGACTTTTCATTTGATGGCATGTTTTTTAAATGAACCAGCATTACACAGGTCCCCACCTTCCTTCTGAGCTTCAGATTGTCACCACAGCAGATCCCTGCGATCTAACGGATCGCTGCCACTGTTGCGAAAAGTCAGGCAACACCAGTTCCTGTGTTTTTTCTGGTAGTGTGACAGTACGTGCTTTGTAGCAGTGATTGGTCAGAATTTTATCATTCACAGAGGTGGCTAGGCCGCTGAGCAACACAGTCCTACCTAACTGCCCTAAAAAATCTCTGAATGTCCTTCTCTGTGGTTCAGAAACAATACTCACTTTCCTTATTTCTTATTTCTGTTTTTGAACAGCTGAGCTGCAGAGGGAGCCTTCGCTGGTGCATGAATCACTGAGCGTAAGTCTGTCTCTGCGATGGTCGGTTTTGTTGTCATTGGGTTGGTTTGATTTGAGGTTCTGAGAGAGGCTGGGAGTGGGGTCGTCTCGGGAAGGGGTTGTCTGTGCATTTCTCTGGGAGACAGGAGGCCGTTGGTATGAGGCTCTCCACTGCAGTTCAACGTACAGATGAGAATTTTTACTTCTCTTTTCGACATTCAACTATATCCACTGATGTCACGAAATATAATCGTTTTCATCAAAAAAAAGTCACTGAATTCAGCAGCACTGAATGTAGGCCAAAGCCACGAGGCAGAACAAAGGAAATAGGAGGCCCAGGTCACTCAGACTGGGAAACTCACCTGGCGAAGTCCTGCGCGAACTCCGAACTTTCTGCTCGTTATTACTGTAACGGCATTGCAGATCCTGTAGCTTGGACTTAGGACGTTGTAGGATATTCTGAGACTTCCCCTCAGTGAGAAAGAAGAAAAAGTACAATTGACAAGATTTGCCAAAGGGAAATCTTATGACAGAATGACAGAATCCCTTAGCACTTTTAAGTGAAAAAAGAAAATCATGAAGGATGATTGGATGGGAAGAGAATTCTTAGAATTCAGAAATATTTTCTCTCATTTCTTACTCTCTTCCCATAACCGTTTGAAAGACAAGGAGAATAAGCACAGTCGGATAAAGTTGTTCATCCAGAACTTCAGAAGGCGGGTGCTTTCCTTGAGCTTCTGGGCGAAACTAAGAAGAGCATGTGCTCCAGCTCCTTCCAGCATCCCCCTGAACAGCCAGACTATATGAATCACCTTCCTTCCTTCCTTCCTTCCTTCCTTCCTTCCTTCCTTCCTCCCTTCCTCCCTTCCTCCCTTCCTCCCTTCCTCCCTTCCTTTTCCTCTACCTTCCTCATCTTTTCACCATATATTTTTGGGGGCAGACAAGGTTTAT